TGAGGAGGCCATACAAGCTGAGTATAACAAGAAGCTGACAAAAAAATTAAAAAGAAAAGCTGGGGAATGAGATGTATACAAGGAGCTTTGAAAAACTCCAGCATATTCCTAGAAATCTATGAGGCCACATGTGCACACCTAGAAGAGAGAGGGCTCTAATCTCTCACCTCAAACTTACCTTGTGAAAACAGGAAGTAAAGGTTAAGGCAAGCTGTAAACTGCCTGCCAAAGCATTTCATACCCCAACATACACACAGAACCCCTCAGTAAAGGCTAGGAAACTTATTGGTTCATGGCATTTAAGGAAATCTCACTCTAATCATTAGCTAATCATTAAGCTAAATAAGCAGAGACTTCAATGGCTATACATAATAAAGAACAAAGACATGACAGGAATAGCTCAGGAAATTCTTTAAACAAAACAAACAGCAAACTATGAGGAGAAGGGAACCTGATTTCCAGAATTGCCAAATTATATTATTATTTTAAATATCTGTTTTCAAAAACAAAATAATTACAAGACATGCAGAGAAAGAGGAGAGTGTGGCTTACACATGTTTAAAAATCAATCATAGCCAGGCTCGGTGGCTCAGCCTGTAATCCCGTGCCTTTGGGAGGCTGAGGTGAGTGGATTGCCTGAGCCTGCGGGTTCGAGACCCGCCTGGGCGGTGAGACTTCATCGCTACAATAAATCAAAAAATCAGCCGGGCGTGGTAGCTCATGCCTGTAATTCTGGCTACTTGGAAGGCTGAGGCGGAAGGATCGCCGGAGCCCAGCAGCTCGAGGCTGCGGTGGCTGGGAGCGGCCACTGCACTCCAGTCTGGGTGACAGAGTGATACTCCAACTCAAAAAAAAATCATTCATTAGAAACTGTCCCTGAGGAGGCCCAGGCACTTTCTTGTTACTTACTAGACAGACTTTAAATCAGCTACTATAAACATGTCTAAATAAAAAAAACTGTGTTTAAAGAATTAAAGGAAAGTACAAAAACAATATCTCACTGAATAGAGAATATAAATAAAAATTAGAAATTAGAAAAAAAAAAACCCAGGCAACACCTTCAGGTCCCCTCCCACTGTGGGAGTTTTTCTGTCCTCTCAATAAATCCTGCTTTCTCAAAAAATAAAAATAAAAATACTAAATAAAAAAATCCTCTGGCTTTGAAAAGTACAATAGCCAACATTAAAACTAGAAGGATTCAATGGCATATTTTAACTGGCAGAAAGAATTAAAGACCTGAATATAAGTTCATTGAAATTACCCATTCTGAGGAACAGAAAGAATAAAGGAAAATGGATGGAGCCTTAGCAATGTATGGGACACCATCAATTGTACTACCATAAGTACAATGGAGTCCCAATAGAGGAATAAAGATGGAAAGGAGCAGAGTAATATTTGAAGAAATAATAGCCAAAATCTTCCCAAATTTGATGAAAAACTTGAATATGCACATCCCATAAGCTCAACAAACTTCAGAGATCCACATCTAGACACATCATAGTCAGTCAAAAGACCAAGAGAAAGCAGCAAGATAAAAGTGACCCATCACATTCAAGGGAGCCTCAATAACATTAAAACTGAGTTTTCATCAGAAACCATGGAGGCCAGAAGGCAGTGGAATGACATATTCAAAGTGCTGAGAGAAAAACATTGTCACTAAGAATTCTATGTCCCGTAAAATGATTCTTCAAAATGCAAGCAAGGTATGATTGTTGCACAACTCATTCAAACACACACTTTAAATGGGCAGATTACATCCCACATGAGTTATATCTCAATAACACTTTTTTAATTAGGGAGAAATCAAAACATTCCAGATAAACAAAAATGTACTGAATCTGTCACTAGCAGTCCTGCCCTGCAAGAAATACAAAGGGAGTCCTTCAGGCGTAAGTGAAAGAACACTAGACAGCAACTCAAGCTAATCTACAAGAAGAAGCCAAGAACACCAGTAACGGGACTGCATAGGTAAATACAAAGAATGGTATAACTGTATCTTTCCTATCTGATTTAAAAGATGACTGTAAAAAGTAAAACATATATCACAACATTTTTCATTTTAGTATTAAATTCAATGTAGGATAGGTCCTCTTTGAGACAACAAAATAACTTCAAAAATGCCTTTCAGACAATTAGACAGGGGCAACGGAAATCAGAAATCTAAGTCAAAAACAATGTTCTCTCTGAAGAGGCTGCATAACAAAACGGCTGAGGACGTGTATTAGGGAACTAGAGTTACTGCGTTTTATGAGGATAAAATGAGCAATATTCACAAAGCACTTTAATCAATGCCTGGCACATAGTTAATGTTATGTAATGTTTAATAAGAATCAATTAAATGAATAAGAGATAGTAACAGTTTAGTCCACTTATCTAGGGTCTGCTTCAACACTTTTTACTTTGTTATATAGACAACATCTTAGCTAAGAACTTAGATACTCACAAAAGTAAAACTATCACCATGTATCTTTTTGATTGTTAAAAGTTCAACTGTTCAAGCCTCTTCCGTTTGTGACACCAGATATTTCTCTGAATTTTTTAGCATTCTTACATACAGTCCAATTTTTATTCCGCACAAACTTTCATGTCATCATCTCTCACAAGTCTTTCTCTCAACAGAAGCAAAGCCTCTTTGCTAAGCAAAAGTTTTGGGGGTTCTGTCAGTCCCCACCTCATTTTCTTTCCTTTTCTCTTTCCAGTTTCCCACAGCTAAGTCCACTGGAAATTTAGCTCCGTTCCAGTCCCTGGAACAGAAAATCTGGGACTCAGCACTCCAGCAATTTCCATTTACCCCAAGCAACAGCTCATTTCCTGTTCTGATGATGGAGGTCCTGCATTTGAGCATCACCTCTTATGTGTGTCCAGTTTGAAGATATGAGCTCTATTCTTAGCCTCTGATACCAAGTTTTGGGCTAGTACCTGCCAGGTACACTAGCTTCCATCCTGAGATGGAAGTCCTGCCATACCCTGGCCTGTCCCTACATTGTTGCAGCCTGACTGTCATAATCCATTTAGCGTTGCTATAAAGGAATACCCGAGGCTGGGTAACTTATAAAGAAAAAAGGTTTATTTGGCTCACAGTTCTGCAGGCTATAAAAAAGCATAGCACCACATCTGCTTCTGGTGAGGCTTCAGGCTGCTTCTACAAGAAGGTAAAATGGAACCAGCATGTGTGGAGATCACATGGTAAGAAAAAGTCAAAGAGAGGGGGGTGATGCCAGGCTGTTGTTAAAACAACTAGCTCTCATGGGAATTAACAGAGCGAGAACTCACTACCCCCTGCCATTCAAAGGCATTAATTTATTCAAGAGGGATCTACCTCCTTGAGTTAAATGCTTTCCCACTAGGCCTTGCCTCCAACATTGAGGATCAAATTTCAACATGAGTCTTAGAGGGTCAAATATCCAAACTACAGTGCTGACTATAAAGAGACCTCCTATATCGTTTATGGAGTTGCAAATATCACCTTTTTCAGATTTCCCATTGCAGAGTGATGTCTGCATTTGGAACAGTATTTATTTCATCTTAGATCCTCTGTTGTTAATCACTTGCAAATAATGCAACCAAGAATCACTGTATCCCTTGTTACTGCTGAATTTCCACTATGACGATATCATGTGCTTTCTACTGTATCTACAGTGCCAGGTATTACTGTATGCTAAGAAACCAAGCTTTGCCCCCATTTGTCATCCAGTTGAAATTGTGCTAATTCAATTATCATTGTTACCAGCTCAATGGCTGACACTTTTCCCTCTTTGCTTTGCATTTAACAGTCTTCTGGAGCTGAACCCCATCCTAAATCAACCTCTGTTTCCCCGTTTCAAGCTGTTTTCCCAAGGTCTGTCTCTACTCATGCCCCCTACCTTTTACATTTATTTTCTCAAAATTCATCCTTTTTTTTTTTTGCAATAACCCCATTATAGCTAAGAATTCTTTTCTCATACCATTCTAGATGTCATCTTATGATGTTTTCATTTAGGGACTGCTAAAAGACATGAAACTTGTTTTAACACACCAAAAATCAGATATTCAAAAGAGTAGTATTTTTCCTCAAAATAGTTACATTAGAGGCTATCCACTTATTCTGCTATTGTTATAAATGAGTAAAGCAGTTATTCAATTCTTACCAACTCTGAATCTTTGATCTTGGCTAAGGAGACCAACTCTATTATTACTTTATAGTATTTGATCAAACAGCAATGCCTAGCTAAATCGCTTGTCCTAATCATCAGACACAACTAGATTACCTACAAATATGAAAAATTTAAATTAGATCTACCTACAAAGTATGAAAAATTTATATTAGTGAGGATATTTATTAAAAATAGCCTCTGAAAGTAAGTATAATAGTTTAAAATAAATGTTGAGAAAAAGCATCTTAATTAGAATAAATGGATGGCAACCTTTGTGTGATCTAATGCTGTACAACTTCTAAGATTATTTTTCCATCTATAAAATGAAAATATCTTTCCTTTTTCACAGGGTTATTGTGGGAATCAAATAAGCAAGTATGATACTTCTGAAACCTGCAAAGTAAATAATGTAAAATATTCCTATTCATGCCTTACTACTGCAAGTTAAGATGGATGCAGAACACATTATTAAGGCATATCCATTTAAAAATTGTATTTAGGACTTTGACTTGAGGGTTAACTTGATATTTTTATTGTCCAGAAGATGAAAACTTAGAATTAAATCTCCATTTTTTTAAGTTATCATTTAAAAAATTCTGTATGCAATAAAGTTCCATTTTTCAAGAAACAGTTCATGTTTTAAAAAGTGAAACTTAATTCACTCTTATTTTTAAAAAAGTGGATGAAAAGAAATTCTATAACTTGGTGGCCCTAATAAACACAAATACTGTCATCAATTTCACAACACGGGGCTTTCCCAGGGAACAGCCAGCAGGTTTTGCTGAGTCAACTGCAATGTTATCCAATCAGAGTTAGAGAGGGAAAGTGTCTTTGTGGATAAATACTGCCTGCTAAGCTCACGTTTTTGAGACACTCCTCAGCTGCTTAGACATATTCTGAGCCTACAGCAGAGGAACCTCCAATCTCAGCACCATGAACCAACGTGCTCTTCTTATTTTCTGCCTTATCTTTCTGACTCTGAGTGGCACTCAAGGTAAGGAACATTAAGGGATACTGAATTTGTAAAATGGGAAATAGGAGTGGGTATATATTCTAAAAATACAGAAATTATTTGTAAAATCGCATTGCATGGCTATAAATAAGAGAGAAATAAGGAGAAAGTCCCTCTGGTCACAGAATGTATGTAAAGTCAGAGAAACAAGCAGAATAAAAGAAAGAAGGAGGGAGGGAGAACAGGAGAGATGGGGAAAGGGGAGGACAAAGGGAAAAGTGAAGGAATGAGGAGAGAGGTTGAGGCACAAATACCTCCTTACCTAACTAAGCCTATTTAACCACACGAGCTGTACTTAAGGGTATGACTTTGTAATTTATAATGTTTAAAGGTGCAATTCTTTTCTTCCCGATAATCAACTACTGAATCATTCAGAGCTGTTATAATGGGATACATTCCTTCTCAGATTAAGTGACTAAGTGATGGCATGGGGATATAGGTTCTACTAAAAACTAGCCAATCCACATTCAATGCCTAAAATGAAACACTGTGCTAACCTTCCCTGCTGAACCTGTCGCTTTTCTTGCAGGAATGCCTCTGTCTAGAACTGTGCGCTGTATCTGCATCGAGATTAGTAAAAAACGGTTTAATCCAAAGTCCTTAGAAAAACTTGAAATTATTCCTGCAAGTCAATCATGTCAACATATTGAGATCATGTGAGTAGAACCCCACCTGATGATCACTTCTCTGGCTGTAATCATACGCTGTATTAAACATGTGATGATAATGACAAAAAATTAGTAAAGGGGTTGGGAAGATTCTAAATGGGTGCATATAGCAAAATAAAGCCCATAGAGTGAGACTTCAGTGTTTGACCTCAGAACTGTGCACTGCATCTCTTGTATCAGCCCAACATTGCTTTAAATATCACCATCCCTATTTACCTCTACAGTGCCACAATGAAAAAGACAGGGGAGAAGAGATGTCTGAATCCAGAATCCAAGGCCGTCGAGAATTTGCTGAAAGCAGTCAGTAAGGAAAGGTAGGTTTGCTGTTGCTTCAGAAGAACTGCTCTTTAGGAAACAACAATCTTGGGATGTTAGAAATATTTGCATTGGGATTTGCTGTGGAATCACTGGCGTAAAAGTCTGTTATCACCATGTCCTCCTCCAGCTCCATGTATGTATATGCTGAGGTGCCATCTTGTGGCAGGTATCTAAAGTACCCTGTTCCTTGTCTAGAAGTGTCAGTATGCCACTTCAGCCTTGAGGCAGAGCTACAACTATCCAAACTGCCAAATTTCCTCCAAGTCTTTCCTGGCGTAATAAAAAGCAGTCCCTGAAATCCACAGTGATTGTGTAGCAGCAAGAAAGCTTATCACATCCTTGACCTGAGGATCTTTATCTGTGAACTCTATATGTTCCAGAGTTCGAAGCCAGAGTTTGTGTCACACTTTTTATACCCCTTTTCTCTTTTTGCAGGTCTAAACGTTCGCCTTAAACCCAGAGAGAAGCAAAACTCACCGCAGTGCTGATAAGGATGGACCACAGAGACGCTGCCTCTCCCATCACTTCCCTATGCAGAATTCATGTCAAGCCCTAATTGTTGCTAGTTTGCAGTTCTCCTAAAGGTTGACCAACCACAGTCAGTAAATTAGCAGCTACAACTCCTGCAGAAGGTGGGGTAGCTCATCAGCCTGGACTGCAGAGGATAACTCTTCCCTGGCACTACACCACAAGCTATGCTGAGGTGCTAAATTCTTAGTGAATGTGCCAAGTCCTAGCCCTACTACTGACACTTTTCTCACCTTTCCTATCTTCCAAGGGTCATTAAGGGATCGTTTGGCTTCTGGGTTTATCAGAAGTAAATATCTGAGTTTCCCTCAGAATCTCAGACAACTAGAAGATATGCAAAGTGATAATACAATCTGACTTTTTAAGAACAAACTTTACTTCATGGGCTTCTACTGCCATGTTCCCAAGAGCCAATAGTTTTTCAGCAGTTACATACACATAATTCCAAATACATACAGGAAGCTAGAAATGTCTGTGTAAATATTATTTAATGAAAGACTGTACAAAGTTGAATTCTTAGATGTATATTTTTATACTGTTCTCGGTGTATATGGAATAACTTGTGTAAGTACTACATATGAATGAGCAATAGGAAAACTTTTTAATAAATATATGCTCTGCATGTTATGTAATGAAAATGTGCTGGAGAGTTTTAAAAATAAAAATAATGTGCTCTTCTGGAAATATTAAGAAATATTATCTAAACTGTTGAGAGACCAAAAAGATAATAAAGTAATTATAACTAAGATGAAGTGTCTTGTGGGTCATTTGACTGGGAGAATTATTTCATAAGAAGGTTAGATTGAAGAATTCATGGCCTACATAAGAAGTTGGGATGGGTAGAAAAGTTGGGATGTGTACAGGAGTTAGAATGGAATGAGAAGTTGGTATGGGTAGAGGAGTTGGGATGGGTAGAGAAGTTGAGATGGGTAGAGGAGAAGTTGGGATGAGCAGAGAAGTTGGGGTGGGTAGAAGAGTTGGAATGAACAGAGGACAAATGAGCTGGGGAATTACCATACTCCTTCCCACTATAGTCTTCTAAAAGGCCCATCATATAAGATGCCTGCAGGACTGATGTGGCATAACAGAGCTTGGCTTAAGCTTCAAACATCTATAGTCAAATTTCTTTTTTTCTTTTTTAGTTTTTTAGAGACAAGGTCTTACTCTGTAGCCCAGGCTGGAGGGTAGTGGTACAATCATAGCTCACTGCAGCCTTGAACTTCTGGGCTCAAGTGATCCTCCTACTTCAGTCTTCCAAATAACTGAGATTACAGGTGTGTCCCATCACGCCTGGCCCTATAGTCAAATTTCTATAAAACATCTCCACCTAAATATCCCATAGAAAATTTAAACTCCATGATATCTTAAATAAATTCTCCTTGCCCCTCTGTTTCTTCTCCTCTATTCCATGTCCTAGTTTAATTGTGCCACCATCCATTCAGTTCCCCAAACCAGAATCCTGGAAGTAATTCCATATTGCCATTTCTCCCTCCCCTCCCACATCCAAGTAGTTACTAAGAAGATATTTGCAATACATTTAGTTGACAAATCGTTAGTCCCCAGAATACACAAAAAACTCCCGTGGATAAAAAAGGCAAAAACAGAAAACCAGGTGAAAACTGGGAAATAGAAATGAATAAGAATTTCACAGACTGGGCTCATGCTTGTCATCCCAACACTTTGGGAGGCAGAAGCAAGAGGATTGCCTGCGCCCAGGCATTCAAGGTCAGTCTAGGCAACTTGGCGAGACCTCATCTCTACGAAAAAATAAAAAAATTAGCCGGGTGAGGGGGCACGCACCTGTAGTTCTGGCTACTTGGAAGGCTGAGGTGGAAAGATCGCCGGAACCCAGCAGGACAAGGATGCAGTGCCGGTGAGCAAGCCACTGCACTCCAGCCTAGGCAACAGAGTGAGAAGAAGAAGAAAGAAGAAAGAAGAAAGAAGAAGAAGAAGAGGACGAGGAAGAGGAGGAAGAGGAGGAGAAGGAAGAAGAAGAGGAAAAAGAAGAAGAAGAAGAAGAAGAAGAAGAAAGAATTTCACAGAAGAAAAAGGCACAAGCCCCTAACATGAAAAGATGTTCAACCTCATTTGTAAACAAGAAAATGTACATTCAAATCATTATGGAATACCATTTCACACCAACAGACCAGCAACATTTTTAAGTCAGATAATTCTATCATCAAGAATGTAGGACAATGAGGAATGCCTCTCCACTGGCGGTGAAAGAAAAAAATAGCAATGACTACTTTACAAAACAGTTTGGCATTATCTTATAAAGTTGAACATGTGTATACTACATGTTCCAGCAATTCTACTACTATATATATACCACAGACACATTCTTGCATGGAACACATATAAGAATGTCATAGCAGCATTGTTTGTAATGGCAAAAATCTGAAAACAATCCAAATGTCTATAAATGGATAATTAAGGTATGTTTATTCAACAGAATATTACACAGCAGTGAAAAGAAATGAAATACAACTATACATATCAGCATGGATGAATCTCAAAAACAATCTTGCACAAAAGAAGGATACATGCAACATGAATCCATTTATCATAAAGGTTTGAAACAAGCAAATTTAGCATGTTACTTAGAAGTAAAGACAGATTGGTGAAAACAAACAAAACACAAAGGATTGATTTACATAAAATTTAGGACTGATTATTTCTGAGGAGAAAAGGGAATAAAATCAGGGAGAGATTCACAAGGGACTTCCAGACTATGGTAAAGTCATACTTTTTTTAACCTGGGTGGTGGGTACATGAGAGGTTTTTTTGTTTGTTTTGTTTTTTGAGTCAGGGGTCTCATTTTGTTGACCAGGCAGGAGTGCAGTGGCATGATTACAGCTCACCACATCTCAGTCTCCTGGGCTCAAGTGATCCTCCCACCTCAGCCTCCCAAGTAGCTGGGACTACAGGCACATGCCACCACTCCCAGCTGAAGTGTGTGTGTGTGTGTGTGTGTGTGTGTGTGTGTGTGTGTGTGTGTGTGTGTGTGTGTGTGTTTGTGTGTGTGTGTAGACAAGGTCCCGCTATGTTGCCCAAACTGGTCTCGAATTCCTGGGCTCAAACAATCCTCCTACCTGGAATTAAAAGCATGAACCACCACTCCTGGTCGAGGGTTTATTTTTTAATATGACTCACACACTTTTCATTTTTAAAAATATAAGTTCTATCTTACATTAAAAAGGCAAAAAAAAAGCAAAGAATTCTAGAATATTACTAATTGTGAGATGTCTTCATGAATATCAAGCAACTTCATATAGAAAGATGAAAGAATAAGAGAATTATCATAATCTGATGCATGACATAGGACTCTAGTATATGAAAATTACTGTGGGATCCTTAACAGGATCACAGCAACACTGTGAAATGGCAGAATTTCTCCTTCCTGCCATCTCATTTCCCCGTTTTTTCTAACCTAAATCCATACTAAAGTTACCTATTGTCTTATTCGGTTTTGTGCTTCTACAACGAAATATCTGAGACGAGGTAATTTCTAAAGAACAGAAATGTACTCATTGTTCTGGAGGCTGGGAAGTCCAACATCAAGGCACTGCCGTCTAGTGATGGGTTTCTTGCTGGGTCATCACATGGCAGAAAAGCAAGAGCGCTACCTCCATCAAGTCCCTTTATAAGGGTACTAATTCCATTTGGGAAGGAGAAGCCCCAGGCCTAACCATCTCTTAAAGTCCCCACTTCTTAATACTATCACACTGGCAACACCTGAATTTGGGAAGAGAAATGTTCTAATAGGAGCACCTATCTTACCCTCAGCTGACTGTCAACTAATTTTCAGGAGGGTGTTGACTAGTAAGGTTTAAACTGTTCTCTATTCAAAATAGGGTGTTCATTTAAGAAATATTTATTTATGCCTACTGCATATCAAGTTATAAGGAATGACTATATCATGAGTTGATAATTTGCTATTTAAGATAGAGATGAAGAAAAATAAGTCATTTCATTGCCTGAAAAAACTCTAAATGTGCCCAGAAAATAGAGAAAATAAGGAAAGCCTTTCCTGGGAAAGTGATGATTGATCTAGAATTTGAAAAACACACATGTATCTGATAGCTAGAATGGCAAAAATGAATTTTACTAGAGGAAAAAGCATGCACAAAAACACATAAGTGTGATACAGCATGGTATATTCAAACTGGAAGAATGTGAGCGCGTAACTAGAGGTCTGGATATTGTAAAAAATGATTCTGGAGTGACAGGAATTAGATCATGAAAGCCCTTCTATGCTATGTTAAGTATGCCATCGCTATCAGTATACTTACAAGTTATATACATGCCATAAAACATATACAAAAAATAATATGTAAGACTACTAGACCATGCTTTAGTAACAAAGCTTCCAAAAGATTAAAGACCTAGCATAATGAAAGTTTCTTTCTTGCCCATACGAAGTTCCACATGACATGACAGGGCCTCTTTGCTAGCTCGGTAATATAGTCTCCCACTTTCTCAATCAGGGGTTGCCATGAGGCTAGAGAAAGACAGAAGTAGCAAACTGGCCTATAAATGCTGCAGTCCACACTACCTCGTCCAGAGCAAGTCACACAATCTTCCCTTCTTTGCAACGGGGGTTAGAAGCTGTAGGCAAAGTGTACTTCTCTCTACCACAAATAGAAATTTTTAAATGATAACTTTAAAAGTTATAAGCCAAAAAGCAAGGTTCAAGCAAAACTCTAACTCAGAGAGAAGTCTAGACAGATTTTTTTTTTTAAGATGTAGGGTACAATTCAGGGTTAGGTATACAAATGTCCTCTATGCAGATACCCTTGTTGATGAGGTGTGCCCCCCTCCCCTGGCAGTTTCCCACTACTGCCAATTCCCCCACTCCCCAGCAGTTTCCCACTACTGCCAATCCCTTTTTTATAGCAGTATGATAATTGTTCAAGGTCCGCTTATGAGTGAGAACATGTGGCACTCAGTTCTTTGTTTCTGTGATAGATCACTCAGTATTATACCCTCTAAGTCCATCTAAGTTGCTGCAAAGTTCATAATTTTGTC